ATATAATAATACAAAATGAATTAAAAAAATTAATTAATCGGTTTTACGACTGGGCCAAGTCTTTAATGAAAATGAACTTATTTGAGGTTAGAAAATTTGCATTTCTTTCTTAGAACCCACAGAGCATAGATTAGAGTCTTTAAAAGTGGTATAAGTGTTTATATATATTACAAGTTGAAATTAGACTTCCAAAAAATTTTAGAAAAATGTAAAAATATGTTCAGATTGAGTATTGAGCTCCTCCATGGTTTTGAAAAATTTGTGAAAATAATTACTTACTTTTATACATACAAAATACATACATATATATATTTAGATCATAATTTCTTAGCACATTTTAATCCAACAGCCCTGCTGATCCTTACTACAAGCTTACTCTCGCTAGAAGAAACCACTTAAATAAATTTAAAAAAAAGTACATTTTTTTGAAGCGAAATGCATGAAGACTTCTAGATATCAATCTCCTTGCACGCCTCGCCTAATACAACTCTTTCATCCAGAGAGCGGTTTCACCGAGCTTGAACTAAAGCTCTATAGTCCGAGCACGTCGAAATTGTGCACTCATGACATCGACTCACTTTGCCTGGTCTTAAGTGGGATTACCCGGCAACAAAAATAACAACAACAATAACAAGAAATGCAGAGTTTTTCTTTTTTTTCGTCGAAAGCCTCCTTTGATGCCACAACTTTAAGTCATAATTTTTCAAAAGTACTTCGCCAAACAACACACAGAGCACATGAGTCAAGCAGTGAGTGAATCTATGATAAAAATCCATTATAAACAATAATTTATAGCATAATTGTCATGGCTATAAGTTTGTTATTTTTATGCTCTGACACCGCTAGCGTCTAAATTTAACGCTTTCGTGCAGAAAAATATATATGAATACTCGTACATACATACACGTGTATGTATGTAAATATCGATGATTGTTGAATTCAATTCACATTAAAGTTTATATATGTATATGACTAATCATAAACTCGTTTCTTTTATGCAAAAATTGGCTTGGGGCTCGCATCCTGTTGAGCGAGTTTGGCAGCTTGATTTGAATTTAACGCTACGCTGTCGATCTCGTATGTAGCTAACGCTGCCTCTCAACTCAATACAAATTTAACAATAATCGCTTATTCATTAATTATTACATTTAAAAGAATTTTAATCTGTTTTATGTCAAAAGTGACATTTTATCAAACGCACTCAATGCGGTTGAGCTGAGCTTAATGCAAAAATAACAGTACAGCTGACAAATTGTGGAAAGAAGTAATATTATTAAAAAAAAATTGAGTTAAAAGTTGCTTAACGTACAAGTATGTACCTACATGCGTTCATATATTTACAGCCACGTTCATATTTCATGTGCAAAATATGTGAAGTCATAATTAGCGTTCAGTGCAAAAAATGTACATTTCAACACGAAATTTATTAAAAATTATTTAAGCGAAAATATTCACACATAAGTATATATAAAAGTGTAAAAACTAGAAAATAAACAAAAAAAAATAAAATTAAAATTATAAAATTAATCGACTACGTAATAAATAGCGTTGTAATTATATTAATAGCAACACATTTTAACATTTACCGCTAATTAGCTGCTGAAAATAAATAGTGATGCAGAAATTATGGGTTTATTTTCGGGATTTTAGTTTACCATTCATTATATGTATGTATAAAAAACTGTTTAAGTAGCTGGCGAAAGGCGCTTAAGATTAAAATTTTTCGAAAACGTGGTTGCCAGCTTTTGAAAATGAAGTCACAAGTTGCCACTTATATCACATTAAGATATAACTCTACCAGTATATGTAGCTATGGCAACATTGACATCACACGCAAAAATTTGTGCTAATACAAAAATAGAGTTGCCATTTAATTAAAAATAAAAAAATAAGAAAATATATTTTTTATTTAATTTTTTAATTAAGTATGACAATATTGCAGCTTTTGAAAAAAGAAAAAAATTTAACGATAGTTGCTTTTATTGGAGAGTTGCCACTTAAATCATATTAAAAATAATTAACTTACATCTGAGTATATGCTGGGTAACGCTCTGAGTATACGAAAATGTAAAATATATGAAAAACAAATATTTTTTATTTAAATTTTCAAATAGAGTTGCAAACTTTCTAAAATTAAAATAAAGTAACATGTATAGAAAAAAAATTATAATATTAGAAAATATGCCAATATGGTTATATGGAAAAGTTTGTCATTGTCTCATACAAGCGCGTTTTTATAGGGTTGCCAACTAAATATATAAAACAAATATTAATTGTGAAAGCAAAATACTGTTATGTCACTTCCATTTTATTAATTAACCACTAAAAATATTTCTAGACAAGCTATAAATTTTTTTTTTTTTAAAATTTCAATATAAAATGGATTTTATGAAATTTTAATTAAACTTTTATAAAACATATAATTAATAAAAAAAATTTATTAAACGCAGTGTTCTAGAAAAATATAAAGAAATGTAGAAAAAAATTGTACAATAAAATAAACAAGTTTTGCTCAGAGTTGCCAGCAATTAGCAAAAAAAAATTAAATAAACTAAAATGAAAATCATACATTTGCTTAAACCAAATGAAATTTGAAAGACTGCAAGTTAGGTTATGTTAAACCATTTCACTTAGTTCATAAAACGTCCATAGTGTTGCCAGATGCACTTTATACGAAAATTGAAACTAAATTTGATAATAATAAAAGCTTGATTCGTTTGATTAGGCATCGCATTTTGTAAACCCGAAAATTCGGGATTGTCAACAAGCACCCAAACAACACTAATCCAATGAAGTTGCAAATAATTTTAATTTTTTTTTATACGCTTAAACAAAAGCTGTCGCAAGAATTTTTTTCTTTCAATTTCAGAACGTGATTTTTATGAAAGAAAAATTGCTACATTGGCACACACTTACACGTATGTATGCCTTCATACACACAAACATAACTTAACTGTATATGCAATCACTTACATTAGCCAAATAGCAAGTGCGGTGAGCTCACCAGCATTTTTCGTTTGCTTTCGCCATCGCTTAGCAGCAGCCCTCTTGTTGCCGCACCCACAGCGAAAAAATACGAGAAAAAAACACAAACAAAAACAACAACAAACACAAAATAGCACTTTATCAATAAGACTTTTGCTATTTGTGTAAATTATTAGCGGTAATTTTTTCAATACACCAACAACAATTTGTAATTTTTATTTTTATATTGCGGCCACTGGGTTGTAGCGGTTTTCTGCCTTCTTTTTTTTTTTTTGTTTTTAGTTTTACACAGCCACGTTGTTGCTGTTTATTGACCAGCAGCAGCAGCAACAACAATAAGTACTCGCACACACAAAGTACTACAGGTGCCTGCTTGTTGCGTTTAGTGTTGTTGTTGTTGTTGTTGTTGCTTACTCAAAAATATTACGGTAACCATACAAAGTTGAGGTTTTTTACGTTTTTCCCCGCCCAATCGCCATTTCATCGGCGTCTTTCACTCTTTGTGTGGCAACGGTATTTGGGTTAGCGCGTTTTAATTTACAATTAACGACTCAACACGGCGGTGTGGAATGTAAAAAAGGAGGTAAAAACATTTCAAAGGAAGGTAAACGTTACACTTTTCAGTGCGGCGCATAAATGGCACATATCGACACTGAATCATGAGCTTTTTAAGGCAAACAGAATTTTATATTTTTTTAATTTTTGGGCAAACACAAATTTTGAGGTAAAAGATATTAAAAAATATAAGTAACTACGTGATATTAAGATTAAAAAAGTTAAACAACTAGTCACCAACTAGTACCAAAGTAATTAGTTGCTGTCTCTAAAATGTTTTTAGATGTTATGGAGTGTGTGCATCAAAAATTACAAAAATGTAGAAATAAAATTAAACAACTAGTCACCAACTAGTACCAAGTAAGTGAGTTGTGATCTAAACACCTAACCAAAACAGATAGTAATTCGAGCTCAGATAAGTCAATTGTGCGCTTAACTCTTTCTGCACTCTTTTGCTTCTACTTTTATTGCAGCGCTTGACAACAAATCAGCTGAAGAAGAACATCTGCAGAAAGAGCACTTAAAATTTGTATGCTACGAATTTCATAAGTAACATATAATAAAAGAAATTTAATTAACTGTGATATTTCATTTTCACTTTCAACTCGTTCATGGAGAAATGCAACTAAAGCCGTGTCAGATATTATCAGTGCTGCTTTTACTGAATTTTCGGTAGAATTTAAATTTCACTTGAAGCGTGAACTCCAATATACTATAAACACATATGAGTATAAACTTATAAATTATTTATATATGTGTGCGGCGGCACAAGTTTGACAAACTAATTTACTGCATGCACAATTAAAGCCAGCCCATGAAAATAAAAGGCCTTATAAAGCTTTCTTTTTCATATCAAGTGCTATAAAAGATATATTATGGGTAAGAATTAATTCATAATAAATTGATTGGAAATGCTTAGTAATCGATTACAACATATGAGTCTGTGTAGCATTCAATATGCTTCACTGTCAAGAAATTGAGTAGTTAAATTGAACTAAAATGTATTTATTTTATTTTTTTCTTTATTTTAAATTAATTTATTTTATTTTATTTTATTTTATTTTATTTTATTTTATTTTATTTTATTTTTTTTATTTCATTTTTATTTTATTTTAAATGATTTTATTTTACTTTGTTTTATTTATTTCATTTTATGTAATTAAAATTATTATACAATATTTTATTTTATTTTTATTAATTTATTTAAATTATTTTTTTATTTAATTTTTTATTTTTTTTATTCATTTTATTTAATTTTATTTTATGCTATTATAGTGCATTTTATATTATTTTGTATATATATTTTATTATTTTATTGTTTTACCAAATGTATTATTTAATTTTCTTTTATTTTATTTACTTTAATATTTCATTTCATTTTTTTTTGTATATTATTTTTTTTACCCTGTTTTCCTAAATCTATTTATTTTTAAATTCTTTGATCTTGCATTTTTACTCACCTTTATTTTCTGTTGCTCTTCTATTTATTTGTTATCACTTTAATTCCAAAAACTGTTCAAATAGCTGCTGATTAATTATCTTTTAGAATGTTTCTTGCACTTTTAGCACATTTGCCTTTAAGGAGTTTTTGTTTTTATTTTTTCTTTTTGGTATTTTCTTCTCTTTTTTTAATTTAAAACACTTTTTTCAATGTCTAAATAAATTAACACTCAGAAAATGTTTGGCCGAAGCAGCTGTTAGATAGAAAGGATGTGAATCGAATTAAAAAATTATAAATTTATAACAAATAATTGAATATAAAAAAAATTTAAAGCAAATTTTTGGTTAAAAAAAAAGATAAAACTGTAAAGAGTTTATATACGCAATTGTGTTTTTTAGTCTTTATTGTACAATTTTTTCTAATTTGAAAATACCAAATTGAAGAGAAACTTTTTGCCTGCAAGAATGTTAGAAGCACAAACACACTTTCAACCAAAAACAGATCAACAACAATAGCAACACCATTATACAAAAATATTTCAAATAAAATCAATTCTTCCCCACTCTTCTTGATTCTAGACACGTCTTTTGCATATTCTAACGTCTTTTTTAACTCATTCTCTTCTTCGTTTGTAATTCCCAACATGTTTGAGCATGTGTGTGTGTGTGTGTAAATTGTTAATAAATTCTTTGCTTTGATATAAAAATTATTCATGCGACAAGTTTTGCTTTCTTAATTCACCGCCCGGCCATTAGCCGCTGGTTTATACGCTTGGTTTGGCTTTGAATTATTATTGAATTAAAATATAATATTTTTCTATATCTGTATGTCACAAACTCCACTCCCTGAGCGCTTTTTAATGCTTAGCGTGTCACTGAATTGTGTGTTTGCTTGTTTTGTTTTTTTTTCTTTTTCTATATTTTCTTTTCTTTATTTTAATTCAATTTTATAGCGAAGTCTTGTAGCACATTTTGCTTTTGTAAAGATTCTTATTCGATAGTGGCGGCAGACGTGTGCATATACGTATACAGATATATATGTGTGTGGATGACTATATTGGTTTTGAGAAACTCTCATGGCCGCGTGACAAAGCAGAGAAGAATAAGAAGAGTATTGGAGATGTATTGTAAATATATACATATATGGCTGTGTATATATGCTTGTTATTGTTTTTTTTATATCAATAATTTTTTATTCGTTTTTCATTCGAGCAGCAGCAGGTAACATACGATTTTTCTCAAATCTCATATTTCCACAGAATTTACGATTGATAATTTTTTTTTTATTTTAGGTGTATTTAGAGGTGATTATGAGCCATAAGGCACAACCTTCCAAGAAGAACCATGCTTGAGCTATATATATATATATAAACATATACATATGTATATAATATTATTTTTAAAGATATATTTTAATCAAATAAATGTGATTATTTTCCAAGTATTTTCGCTCATAATTTTTGTGTTGAGTAATTTTTTAAATAAGTTTTAGGTAAATTTTAGTTCGCCACACATTAAAAAAAAAGTTATAAAATTCGTTTTGTTTTTATTGTAGCTCCTTCTTCTTACATTATAAACTGGCTTTTATTCCAATAGGATTTGTTAAAGTAAAAGTCAATAATTAGATTAATTCAATATTAAATTGTTTTTATTAATTAAAAAGCTAAAGCAAATTAAATTCAGTAACTACTTTTTTATTATTTTAAACTATTTTTTAGCTTAATATTTCATAAAAAATATATAATCTTAGTTTATTTTTGATTGCCATTTTTTGGTAATTTTAGCCATTTATAATTAATTATTTGTAATTAATGATAATTTATTACACAAAAATATTATTTGCTGACGATTTCTTAAAAAAGTTATTAAATAAATAAAGTTGAAAATAGCTAAAAGTACAGAAATCCAAAAAAAATTGGAAAACCTCAAATTAAATAAATGGTTTCATGAAATATATTTAACTTAAATATTTAATAGTTTTACAGTAAAATGTTGCGCCAAAAGTCCGTTTTATTTCATTTTTAAAATAAAACAAAAATATAATTCAATTACAACACGGAAAAAATTAGCTTCATTTTTGAATAAATAGAAATAAAAAAAATTGAAAAAAAAAAATTATAAATTTTTTTTTACAATTTTTTTAAAATATTTAAAAAATTTTTTAATGAATTCAATGTTTCATAATTTTATAAAACATTTTTTTTTTATTTTTCTCTAATTTTTAACAGCACAATTATATAATTTATTGCAAAATACAAATTCAATAATCTTTAGAAAAAATTAATTCAATTTTTTTTTATTCAAATAAAAACAGTTTTTAAAAAAATCGACCGAAACATTACTTTGAATTCAGCAATTAATTTTTTTTATTTAAAATGTGTTTTTTTTTCTCATTATGTTTTGATATTAATTTTTAAAATCATATTCACAAATAGAAATTAATTTGTATTTTTAAAAAGTAAAATAAAATTTAAAATAAAATTAAAAATAACTATTCTTGTTGAATTAAGTTTTCATAATTTTTGTCTGATTATCAGTGATTTCGTTAAATATTTAGGGAAGTGATAAACAGCAACAAATAATTAATGTGGACGAAAATATAATTTTTAATATTTATACGAGTATATTATTTAATTACAATTAAAAAAGAGAACTAATTTTTTTGCTTTATTTGCCCTCAAATTTTTTTTATTGAATTTATGCACTTAATTAAAAAAAAAAATAAAAAAAAATTAAAAAAAAATAAATTTAAAATATTTTTAAAATAACTTAATATTTAGTAAATATTTAAGAGTAAGTATTTTAAAGAAAGTCTCCTGGCAGTGGGGTGTATATGCATGTATTTCACAAAGGATTTTCTTACGCAAATTTATTTAAAGAAAATAAAGCTTGAATTAATATAAAATATTTTGAATAATTTCTGGTACTGACAAAATAGCAAAAAAAAAGTATTTCTACCAAAATTATTTATAAAAAATTTTACTCGCATATATATACATGCGTCTGCATGTGTTTCACTAATAATTTAAAAATAAAAAAATAAAAATAAAAAATAAAAAACTAAAAATAAAAAATAAAAACGAGCTGCAATAATTTAAATAAGTTCTCCAATTTATTAAATATTAAAGATAAAAAAATTAACACAAGAATTCACTTTTCTAAATGTAAATATCTCAAGAACTGTTGTTAATTATTTTTATTTTATTTTTCAAATTTCTAAAAAAAAAAATTTTTTTTTAAATTTTCAAAGAGTTTAGCTTTTAGGGTTCAATTTCAAGCTTTTCCCTTAGATTTTCTCTATCATAGATATGTTCGTAAATATGTATGCAATATTGTAAGCGAGTCTACAATATATGTATGTATGTATGTATCTTGTGGATTGGCAGTGTGTTAGCCAATCGTGCACCAACCACCCCCACCCGCTGCACTTTCAATATCAAACTAACTGAAGAATTGCCTTTAATGCCGGTTTTTTGCTTGTGTAGCACCGCTCAGTGCTATATGCAACACTTGCCACAAACTGAATATATAAGCAAGTATATTACATGTACCATATATATATATGGATATATATATTTATATATATATATGCTGAGTAGAAACTTAGCCAATTTATTGCGGCATTTTTATTCAAAACCACACAAGCAAGCGTTCGACTGTAAGCACCAACAACTAACACGGTGACTTTGCCGCTTGCCTCTTGCCACTTGCCACTTGCCGCTTGCCACTTCTCGGCTTGTGTCATACAGTCGCTCTGTATTGCAAATTTCTTTATGCCTTTGCATATATTTCTTGGTTTATTTGCTTTACTTTGAACTCTTTATTCCTGCTTCCGCTGGCGTTGGTTCTTATGCGTACTTTGTCTTCTCTACAACACACTTTCTTTCTTGCTTTTTGTTTGCTTTTATTCATACACTTTTTATTGTACTTTTTCTACTACTTTTTCTGCGAATTTTTTTTCGCTTTGAATTTCTATTTTTTTCTTGCTTTGCAAAATGGAGTTGCTATTGTTGAAGAATGTGGATTTTTTTTTTGCCGTAAATTTCACTTAAAATAATTATTAAATAATTAAAATAATTATTAATTAATAATTATTAATTTAAATAATAACATAATATTTTTTTAGCTATTTATTGCCCTGTTTTTCGATTAAAGTTCACTTTAAAGTCGAATTGTTATATTTTCAATTGCATTTCGATTGTTCAAGCCAAACAAAAGACTCACGCAACGAACGCGATTTCAATATTTTTGTCAAGAACAAAACTCGCTTCATTACAATGTTGAATCCTGTTGGGTAAATGTCACACTATTGGCGCGTAATCCTTTGTTTGTTGAGAGTTTGAATACTCGTTTTTATATTTTAATATTTTATTTTATTTTGCCGTTTTTTTTACGCTCAAAATCCACTTCTTTTTTCGAAAAAAAAAATTTTCCAAAATAATAATTTCTTCACAGTTCTACATCTTCCACAGTTAAAGTGCCAGTCCAAGCAACCATAAAAAAAAATCCAAGATAAAATTATATTTAAAATTAATCACTACAAAATCTTAACCGTTAACTGTACCATACCGTACGAAGGCCAAACACACACTAAACTCGCTGGAGAAAAATCTGAATTTACCAGCCGCGAAACAAGTAGCCGGCCGACAAGCCCAAACAGTCAGTCAAGCAACCACGAAAAATCCGACTTGACATAGCCACTGTGGTGTTGGCAGTTGGTAAGTCATGCCAAAGAAAAAATACAAAAAAAAATACAAAAAAAAAATTAAAAAAATGCAAAAAAAAGATAAAAGAAAAATAGTAGAAAAAACACAAAAATGGGCTATAAGCCGCTAAACAACAACAAAACAATGCTATGCAGACACGTACACTCACTTACATACACACACACGCATACTCGGACACCTGTATTTGTATTTATTTGCATGTTTATAACTACATACATCTATACATACATACATACACGTACATTTGGACATAGGAATGCCTCTATTATCGGTCCGTAAGGCACTTTTCTGTTTTCTTTTCTTTTACTTATTGCTTTCGCCTTCGTCTAGTTATTCGCCGTAAGACTTTTGTTGCGTACGCGTGGCTTGGTGGTGTTGCCAATTCGTTTAATTTTTTTAATATTCACATTATATACTTATATATATATATATATATTTTTTTTTTGAGTACATTTTTAGAGTTACCTAATGTAGTTGTTGTAAAAAATTTTTTTTTGATTTTTGTAGATTGACAGTCCTTGGTCTGGTGAAAGTCTGCTTAGTTCTTTCATCGATGGTGTGGAAACTGGATTATAGCTGTAAAATAACTGAGCTCCTTCTTCCTCATGTTAATAATACAAAACGCTACAACCCACCAACTGAAGCTATGATCATATCTGTACCATGCAGGCCTGTCTAGTGAATGGCTAATACCAACTGAGCAGCTCGAGCCTAAACAGATCTATGTGTGCTGAACTACAGTAGAAGCTCCGTAAATGACAGATTTTTAGAAACTTTTCAGGAAGTGAGTTGAACCGACTATGCCCAACTGCGGTCTACTACCTATTGGTGCGTTCTCTTCGCCCACTCTTGAGCAGCCCTTACGCTGGTTTCTGTATCCAACCCTTTGTATAGCCTAGGAGAGTAAGCTTTGAAGGAGTCACTCGGCTATATACAGTTTGAGGGTTCACTAGAACTCTTGAGACAAACTAAGTTGGAACTTGAAAATCAATTCCAGTCGGAAAGTTAGCAATTCCTCAGATTAGAGCCACCATTTTTCACGAAGACCACTGCAAATGTATTAAGGGCTTTGTCTTAAGGATATGCACCTACAATATTCGGTCCCTTAGTTGGGAAGGTACCACTGCTTCGCTGGTTGATGTACTCTCAAGACTTAAGGCTAATATCACCCTCAACTAAGAATTGCAAAGGACGGAATGAGGACGA